TACAGGAGCAAAAGTCTCATCATAATCAATTCCCTCTTCTTGATTATACCCCTTAACAACTAACCTAGCTTTATTTCTTATAATGATTCCAGATTCATCAAGCTTATTCCTAAATACCCATTTAGTTCCAATTATTAGATGATTACTTGGTAGTGGCACTAAGTCCTAGACTTCATTCCTTGCAAATTGGTTTAATTCCTCTTGCATAGCCATCAACCAATGTTCATCATGCTATGCTTCATTATTGTTTTGGGCTCAACTTGTGAAACCAAAGTCATAGTATTACAAATATTCTTGATAGATCTTCTAGTTATCACTCCTTTACCAATGTTTCCAATTATATTTTCAATTGATAGGTCCTTAGAAGTTTTCCATTCCTTATGCAATTGTTCACTAGTTTCTTCTATGGTTTCTTTTGATTCACTTTCTTTAGGCAACTCAATTTGTTCATTTTCTAAGGGAGGTTGATCAAGCAATTCAGTTAAGTCTTCTACTTCAGTTTTCCTTGTTTCTTGCTGATTGGTCTCACCAAACACAACATGTACAAATTCTTCAACTACTAAGGTTCTCTTATTAAACACTCTATAAACCTTGTTATTTGTAGAGTAGCCCAAGAAAATTGCTTCATTAGCTTTAACATCAAATTTTCCAAGTTGTTCTTTACCATTGTTTAACACAAAACATTTACATCCAATACCTTGAAGTTGGAATTCTCCTCCATGTTCACTCTTAATTGAGGTGATGTTTGTGTTCTTTTCATTTTGAACAAGCTTAGCAAATTTCTTAAAAACATTCTACACAAACTCACAAACACACACAAACATAGACAAAAACACAAACACACATACATACATATACAAATAAACACAAACGCAAAGCCACACAAACCAACAGACAAACAAACACACAAACACATGCACACACACAAAGACACACATACACAATTACACATGGACATAGACACACGAAAAGACAAACAAAGATACACACACAGAAACATAGAGAAACACACACACAAACACAAACACCCAGACATACACACACAAATGCACATACATCCAAACACGTAAAAACACACATAGACACAAACTCACAGACACACAAAACATATACAAAGACACAAACATACACGCATACAAATAAACACAAACAAAAAGCCACTCACAAATAAACACAAACATACATTCACACACATACATAGACAAAAACACATATGCAAATAGACACAGACAAAGACACAAACATACACACACATAAACACAGAGAAACACAGACAAACACACTAGCAAACACAACCAAACATAAATACACACACAAAAACACAAAAACCCAGACACACAAATGCACATACATCCAGACATACACACACAAAGACACAGACAAGCACACCACACATAGACACACACACAGACTCACGAACACACACAAATAGACACCCAGACAAAATTCTTTTGATTTTTGTTCACTAGAAATTCTTCTAGGGGGAGGTTGATAAATTTCTTGCTATATTACTCTTTTATTTACTCTTTATTTTTTTCACTCAATTTTTCTTTTTGTTTAACCAATCTAAGTTTTTCCTCAATTATAGTAAGTTGAGCATCCCTTTCAATTTTTACTTTTTCTTTAGCTAAGGTCCCTTACTTTCTCCATAATTTTAGTGATTGATGTTCCTTCGTAACATGTGAAATACTTTTGGGAGGACTTGAATCACTACCACTATGTGAATGAGAATGACGACTCATGGTCGAACAAGAAGATTTAAACTCAACTTGTAAAAGAAACTAAGTTAAATAAAAACTATCCTAAACGCACCTATTAGTAAACAAAAGGCTTTGGAACTCTTGTTTACTAACTAATCAGGATCAAAAGCTATGGTAACCACCGTCTGAATTTTTCGACATCAGGGTAAAGCATAAAAAGATCGTACGTATACCTCCTCTTCCATCATTTGTCGACTAAAATAATCATCATACCAACACAATCAATTTTAACCGAGATGAGGGACAGAAGCAAATATATAGGGTTTTCATTCCCTATATGTTCTCATGATCAATACAAAATGTATTTAATAACTACCGTCTCAATTTTTCGACATCAGGATAAGATATAAAAAGATCGTATACCTCCTCTTTCATCATTTGTCGACTAAACCAATCATCTTACCAACACAATCAATTTTAACCGAGATGAGGGATAGAAGCAAATATATAGGGCTTTCATGCCCTATATGTTCTCATGATCAATACAAAATGCATCTAATAACAACAGTCTCAATTTATCGACATCAGGATAAGGCATAAAAAGATCGTATACCTCCTCTTCCATCATTTGTCGACTAAAATAATCATCATTACAACACAATCAATTTTAACCGAGATGAGGGACAGAAGCAAATATATAGGGCTTTTATGCCCTATATTTTCTCATGATCAATACAAAATGTATCTAATAACCACCGTCTCAATTTTTCGACATCAGGGTAAGGTATATTGACTTAATAGAAATCTTTAATTTTAATTTTGATGTGAAATTTATTTTGATAAAATATTTTAAATTAGATTCATCAACAATTCATGTCTATTTTTAACTCTCACATTTGACATCCATTGCTAAGATGCACTCCACCAAAAATAGCAACACCATCACAATCCACCAAAAATAACAATATGCACACTTCCTTAAGACTATGACAATATTACATCCTTCCTTGAACAAGAACTCTAACCCACTGCACTTTACTACAAGAAAGATTTTAATAAGATTTCTCCTATTTGCTTCACAAGCATGTTGATAAACAGAGAAAAAAAACTTTATAATCAAATTCTTCATTTTCTTCTCTCTTAAATCATTGTATCAAATCACTACAACAAAATTAAAAATATATCATTGTCACATGAATTTAATAAACCTAAATTATTTACATAGAAATAGTGTTAACAAGAAATTAATGACATATGTAAAAAGGATTAAAAAATTTAATTATAAAGACTAAAAATATCTATTTTAGATTATATAAAAACTAAAAAATAAAATAAATAAAATTATAAAGACTAAAAAATATTTTAACCTAAAATAAAATTATTTAATACCTCATTTATATAAATCAAAATCGATAATATATGTACTTTTCAAAATATAGTAAACTGAATAATTTGGTTTCCTTTTATTATTATTCAATTTTAATAAAAATTATCATAAATATTCGAGGTAACATAAAGTTATATATAATTTTATTATTGAATTGACAGAATATACTTTTAAGATAAAGTTATTAGTGATGTAATAATTAGTAAAAATTATATCAATATTATTTAATTTATTTTTCTTATTAAATTAGAAGAAAATTTTAAAAAATAAGAGTAAAATTCATAAAATTAAAATGCTTAAAAAATACAATTAAATCAAATATTTAAAATTTTACTTACGTGTAAAACTGAATCCTAAGGCTACTTCCAGGAACCACGTGGTCCTGATCAAGGCAAATGCATTGTAAAATTCGCCGCATCCCATGCTTGGTAAGGTTGATGATTTCAGCAAAGAATCATACCTTAATTAATTATTTTATAATTTATAATATTTAGGTGAAGTTTATGACTTTATCTGACATTATGAAACAGTACTCGAATATCTAATAACTTCGTTTGGTTGTTATTGATATTTTATTTTATGAATAGATTATAACTCCGTAATTGAAATAATCAATGGGATTGACTTGTGTTTCGAGGATTCTATTAATGTTAAAATAGTATATTTCGTCAATGAAAGTGATATTTGCGAATATAAATTAATTATTAATTATCAATTTTAAAATATTATAATGATCAAAATCAATTGATAATGTCATATTTTGGAATTAAAGTTTAATTTTGTTTTGATTTGGAGAATGTTTAGTTTTTCTAGGTGCTCAGTTGTACTCCTCCTCAAAAGAAACATACCAATACACATAGAAGGTTTCCTGATTTCAATCGATATCATAATATCTATTCCATTACCAAATTGAATGGAGATTCTTGAGTTAAGGAATGAACAATTGAGGAAGTTCTTCAACCCATGTTGGACCGTCTCGGCCGTAAGCCGAGTGGTGTCTCGAAAGATAAGAGCTACAATGTGTGTGAGGTCGACTATAGACCCGTGTACTACCTAGGCCGAATCACAACCTGATCTCTCCTCACGCAATCACCCGACTGTAATCTTGGCCGACTCACCCTCTCAAAGTCAATCGGCGTATACCAACTCGCCCTCTCAGAGTCAGTTGGCGTATAGCCAATTCGTAACACGACAACCAGATGTCGATCTCATTTACCCATAAAGGCCTACTCGGTCGTTATCCGATTGGATACTCAGCAATGGCGAGGTCCCACCCTCACTCATCAAGTATTTTCTAGATTAGAACGGCCAAAGAGATCCCTATATTCTCGGGGCCCATAAGGCCCACAAACGAAAAACTATAAAACCCAAAACCCTAGAGTTGAGGGGGCAGATTACACCTTTGAATGTTCTGGCTTTGAGGCTCGACCTAGGAGAAAACCCTAGTGCACCCCTTGGCCGGAACATTTTGGCGCCCACCGTGGGGCTACGGTAAAACTTTTCCTACGCCCCAAGTCAGATAGAGGAACTCGCGCTTTACCATGGCAAGAGGCGGCATATCGAACAACGACTCACAACACCCTACCATGGAGGAGATGATGGCCATGATCAATGGCTTACGGGAGGAGAATGCGCGCTCTAGGGAGAGAGAGGAGGCCATTCAACGCGAGAACGAGGAGATCAGGAGGTGAGCTGACGAGATGCAGGCCAGAATAGCGGCCAGTACCAGGACGGTGGAGGAGGATGTCATGTTGGAAGTCCCTAGGGATTTTTGACCTTTCTCGGAAGCCATAGAGGCCGAGACCATCCCCAGGGATCATCGGATACCCCAAGTCAAGCCTTTTTATGGAACGCAGGATCTTAGTCAGCATTTGACGGATTTCCGAGCTCAAATGTTGATCTGTGGAGGAAGCATGGAAGTCCGCTGCAAACTGTTCATGGGCACACTCAAAAAGGCAGCACTTGATTGGTTCAGTGGTCTCCCTGACCGATCAATCACTGACTTCGATGTCTTCAGTCGACTCTTCATGGCACAATTCGCCGCCAACAAGAAGAAACCGCCGATCACGTCGGACTTGTTCGACCTCAAGCAGCAACGCGAGGAGTCGCTGAAGGACTTTCTGCAAAGGTTCAATGAGGTCGCCTTGAGGATAGCGTCGTTGGATGAAAGGATGGCGGTCATTGCATTCCAGAAGGGTTTAAGGTCCGGAGCTTTCGACATCGCGCTCGAAAAAGCTAATTGTCAAACGATGTCGGAGGTCAGGGCTTTCGCCCTGAGTCACATCAAGACGGAGGAAAACCAAATTATCAAAAGAGCAGCTGAAAGCCGAGAGGCAGGGGGCGGTAATAAGGAGGGCAACAAGCACCTCCGGGTGCGCTCAGATTGGAATAAGCGACGTGATCACTACGATACTAAGGAGGGGAATCACAGGCAGACAGACTATGGTGGTCAGGCGAAGGGCGAGTGGACACGAAGCAACGAACAGGAAAAATTCACCCCACTCAACGTTCCCAGGAGGCACATACTCCATGACGTCAACAATGCGTCGCTTTTCGAGTTCTCGGCAGCGACTGATCGCCAATTGGGTCCTTACAAGACTGACTGGTGTGAATTTCATCGCACCCATGGACATACTATGGAGAATTGCTTTGTTCTTGGTAGATAGATTGAGCGTCTTATCAAGGAGGATCACTTGAATAAGTTCATCGCAGGTAAGCATGATGAAGGCTCATCGGACAGACGACGCAGACATGAAGGGGAAGATGCGAGGGGGGGAAGACGCAAAGGGGGGCTCCTCCGAGCGCGACCGCCGAGGCCCGTTTGGGCCGGTGGCGACACTTGCCCTTTTGACAGGCATCACATAGTTTATACTTGCTGAACTTGAGTTTAGGTAATCCAATTACTAACTTTTTTCTACTTAATTTGTTTAAGTGATTCATATGTATGTGTGCAACCCTTCTATTCCAAAGCCAAACATTGTCTTCCTTAGTGATCAAGCATTTTTGTTAGAAATTTTGATTGAATGCTCTAAGTCTAACATGTAAATATTATCAATTCTTTTTCCAATGAATCTAATTTCTTTAGTCAATTTATCATAAATCAAACAGCAAGAATTATCAAATTCAATTTTAAATCCCTTATCACTTAGTTGGCTTATACTTTGCGAATTATGTTTCAACCTTTCAACAAGAAATACATTTTCAATCAATGTTGAGGAAGAAGAGTTACCAACATTTCCACAACCTAGAATCTTCCCTTTCTTGTTGTCACCATATGTAACAAATCCTTCATGCTTTAATTTCAGACTTGAAAACTTTGAAGGATCTTCAGTCATGTGTCTTGAGCAACCACTATCAAGATACCATAACAAAATTTTGGCTCTCAAGCATTCCTACAACAAAGTCAAAAAATTGATTTAAGTACTCATGTGAAGGGTCCTTGATGGTTAGTTCCCAGCTTTTGGCCTTTTATAATCCAAATCATTTAACCATTTGGAACACCATATTTTTTGGAATAGCAATTTCTCATTGTATGTCCTTTCTTACAACCATAAAAACAAGTAGTTTGTTTCATGAAATTGCCTTTGAATTTTCTAAGAGATTGGTTTCTTTTGAAAACTTTTTCCTTTGATTTTGATGGCATGTTCATGCTTTGACTAAAACAAAGTCCACTTCTATCAAAAGCATGTCTTTGTTTTCCCAAAATGATGTTCAATTTTGCATTTCCATTATGAATTTTGCAAGAGAATTTTTCAAATCAGCATTTTCTTTTTCTAAAAACTTGTAACTTTCACAATTAACTTTTGAAGAGGAGGAGGCTTCACAATGAGCTTCATTGAAGTTTAAAATTGTTTGCATATTTTCATGTTCAATTTCTAAGTTTTCAAGCTCTTGTTCAGCTCTAATCAAAGCATTTTCATACCATGACAATTTGCTTTTAAGTTTGGTGTTTAAAACATCTAATTTTACAATTTTTTTGTGAATTTGAATAAAAGCTTCTTGAAGTTGATCATAATCAAGATTAGACTCAAGATCAGAATCACTTACAATGTTATCTTGATCAACTCCAGCCGTCAAAGATAGGTTGATCTCCTCATATTCAGATTCACTACTAGTTGAGCTTAGATCATTGTCTTCCCAAGCTATGTAGGCTCTTTTTCCTTTGTTGTTTCTCTTCCCTTTCTTTTCCTCTTGTTGCTTCTTTAGAAGATTGGGGCATTCAGCTTTTATATGGCCTGATTTTCCACAATCAAAACAATTGTAAGAAGATGTGCTCCCTTCATCTTTCTTATTTGCCTTCTTGTTGAACTTGTAGGGGGATCTTTTTTCCTTTGACTGATTTCAAGGCTTTTAGAGATACTCTTTTTCCCTTTTTATCTTGTAGTTCATTTTCATAAAAAATGTGCAAATTTTGCTCATGCTCTCTTAGCTTTCCAAAGAGAGTTGCAAGTGTCAATGAGGTTGATCCTTTGATTTTTCAATTGTTGTAACCTTTACTTGCCAAGATCTATCCAAGCATTGTAGAACCTTCAAGTTTAATTCCTCTTCTTCGAATTTCCTGCCAAGATCAACAAGGTGATTTATCAAGTGTGTAAAACATTTTTGAAAATCAAAAATTGATTCACCATGATTCATTCTCAACAATTCATATTCTCTTATGAGAGTATGTTTCCTAGATCTTTTTACATCATTTGTTCCTTCATGAGTAACTTGTAGTGTTTCCCACATTTCTTTGGATGATTTGCATTGAGAAATTCTAAAAAAACTTATCAATAGACAATGCAAATGTTATAATGTTCTTTGCTCTATAATCATATTGAGCTCTCTTTTTCTCATCATCACTCCACTCACTCCAATGTTTTTCTCTCTTTCCATCACTATCCTTAGTCATAGGAATACAGGGTCCATTTTCAATTGCATCCCATACAGCAATATCAATTGCTTCAATGAAAATCTTCATCCTAATTTTCCAATAGACATAATTCTCTCCATTGAAAACAGGAGGTCTATGAATAGAAACACCCTCACCATAAGGTAGGTTGCTGTTGGCCATTTTTGAAATCTTGATAAACACTCAAGAACCTTACTCTAGATACCAATTGATAGAAAAGAATGGCTCAATCCAAGAGGAGGGTGAATGGATTCAATGACACTTAAAATTTTTTTCAGAGTTTAAGGATCTTTATTTCAATTTAAAACTTTTTTAATATGAATTGTCAATGAAGTTAATTGAATCTTTAGCAAATAGGAATGACTCTTATATGAGTTCTTGCTTAATCTTTATTGAATTAGCTTATAGAACAACTAATATGCAATGCTCATGTTTCAGATTACACTATTTTAATCATACAAGCATATTAACCAAGACCAGCCTTTTAACATTCAATTAAAGATGATTCAAGGTAAGAGATAGAGATGAGAGAAGAGTGCAAAGTGTTTTATCCTGGTTCAGTCACTTCACATGTGACCTACATCAAGTCCTCAATCATAACATGATCAAGATTTGTTTCACTATCTTAATGAAGAAGTTTTACAAGTGTATCACACATGCATACACTCTTACATTCAAGATAGACACTTTCTTGTCCCCAAGAAAGAACTTCTTGAAGAAACTCACTACAAGAATTCCTTACCACTTGAGATACCTACTCAAGATTTCTTTACACTTTACCCAAAGAATTAAAGGAATGAATTCACCTAGAAGCTGAACAAATCAGACTGTGAATTCTTGACACATCTTAATCCTTCTCTTCCAAAAATATAGTGATGATGATGGTTTCTCTCAAAGCATTTCACAAAAGTTTTTCTTCTTGGTTTCACAAAGAAAACACTTCAAGAAGATCATAAAGACTTCACAAAATTAGTTTTTCTCTCTTATATTTTCAATTCATCTCTCTATACTTGTTTCAAAGTGTTAAAACTATTTATAAAGTTTTCCAGACTTAGATAATCGATTATTTTTAAGGATAATCGATTATTTTGTTCTTTATGATTTCTGGAAACCACTCAAGAACATAATAATCAATTACTTTGCAGGATAATTGGTTATTCTAGAGAGCTCTTCCTAAAATAATCGATTATTACAACAAGGTTCCTTGAACCTCTTGCTAGAATAATAGATTATTTTTAATGATAATCGATTATTTTGAGTAAGTTTTCAAAAACTCAATTTCACACTTTAGGAAACTTTCCAAGCCATTTAGATCATCATCATACTCACTCTTAGTCAACTGAGATTAAGATTTACTCAAGCACAAAGCATACACATGCAAAAATACACTCAACAAGACAACACAACATATAAGAACATATAAGCTATCCCTATTACATTTTGTATTCTTTCATGTCTTCCTTTCTTGACTATCTTGCCCTTTGTTATTGGCTTGTATCGTTTGTTATAATCAAAACTTCTCAGAACTTCCGAGCTGAGCTTGATTTATCACCCATGAATCTCAAAAACTAGAACCAATATATTCATGTAATATGTGTGGAAAGTGCACCTTATGAGGAATTGCTTGTATAGAGTCCTAACAAGGTACCTTAAACTAGGAAAGATAAACTCTTTATGGATAAGGATAGGATCATCATTATAGTGTAGACTATGTGTAAATATAAATGCTAAAAATGTGAAAGTACTAAAACTATAGCAAACTAAGGAAATATTCATAAAAGCTAAGGTATATTGCTTGAAGTACCCTTCATAGTAACATAGGCATATACAAGAAAAAAATGTGAACCTAACAAGGAAAATACCTAGACAACCTTGATCATATTATTTGTTAGATATAAAATAGAAGGTGTAAAGAAGAGTCTAGAAGACTCGTAATCTAATTGTCTCGGAGGGAAGTAGTCAAGTTACATTCAAACAAGTTTGGACTTCCTTTAAGACAGAAAATATAAAGTATGACACCATGAGATGTATTCAATAAACAATATAAACCAAAGGTTGGGTGCCTTATTAACACAACTAAAGTAGAAGGATTCTTAAGTATACAATGGTTGTCTACTTTGGGCACCATTAAAGTAGTAGCATAAGAAGTAAAACTAGGTGAAATCCACTTTTTCTTCACTAGACTTAGAACTTGAGATCCTTTCTTTTCAAAAGTATTTTATTTTTTAATCTTAAGATTTAAGTCCATGGAAACAATAGAAAAAGGCTAAAATATTTGTGAAGAAGAAAAGTCTTTTTGCAATTATTTTTAATAGAAAAATGAATTTCCTTTATCACAAGATTTTTGGAGGAGACAATATCCTCCTTACTCTTGTCTAAGAGTAGTCCTTTTTTTTTCTTTTTCTCTTTTCTTTTTCATTTTGATTTGATCCTCTAAGACTTGAGAAGGCAATAGAGGAGTCAACACAAAATTCTATCTCATATGAATAAGACTTATATAGTTAGTAAGACAATTATGGATAACCTTCCTATTATATTGCCAAGGTCTTCCAAGTAATACATGTTAAGTCAGACGAAGCAATTTCCAATAAGGTTTTGAACATGAAAAATATAATACATATTGTTATTTCTAACATGTGTGTTAGTGTTTCAGATAAATATAAGAACAGGCAAAACTGAAAAATGAAGTACGTGTTATTACACATAATTTGGTCAAACCAAACGAAGCCTAGTTAAGTTGTACAAAACATCAGACGATGGTTGATCAAGCATCAA